GTTTGTTTGTTTGTTTGTTTGAATTTATGCACAAAGCTACACAATGGGCTATCTGTGTTCTGCCCACCACGGGTATCGAAACCCGGTTTCTAGTGTTGTAAGTCCGCGGACATACCGCTGTGCCACTGGAGGGCCCAGAGCACAGATAGCCCATTGTGTAGCTTTGTGCATAAATTCAAACAAACAAACAAACAAAATCTGTGCAGCAATATTAGATATTGTGCGTAAGGTATTTCAGTTCCAATCAATTTTGTTTCCGTTATTTGTTCCATTTCTTCTCCATAAATATTTAACCAGGTATAACAATCACAAATACAGGGGCATTTCCACAACTGTCCTTCCCTCAACTGAGATACCACGTTTTACTGTCAGGCTTTGGCAGAATATATTTTAATTTGGAGCTTAGTCATTTGCGTCAAATGGGAAATATTAAAAAACAATTTAGCTCCGGTAGTACATTTTGGATTCCCATGAATTTGTTCTAAAACATAACACCAGAGTTAATTTGATTGACCCTAGTATTGTCACTGAGAGATGTGTTAAAAACAGGTTAGTTAATAGTCATTGCGGCCAAGCTTAAATCAGGAGCAACAAACAGAACTATGGAAATACAAGACATTTCACAAGTTCACAGGTTACATAGTTCAGCCAGTATTCTATGTGCAATCTTTAGCCAAAACACTAAGTATAAATATCAAGCCAAATCTCCCATTCGATTCGCTCCTTATCACCTGAGTTGTAACAGTATCAGGAAATTCCATCCCTCCTCATATTTAATTAAAAACAAGAGCACCACGGTAAAACGAAACATGTTTTATCCACGAACGTACACATTCCATCATCAACGATCAAAATGTTTACATACAACATAGATAGGTAATATGTATATAAGCAATACAAGAATATGGAGAAAAATGTACACAAAACATATATATAGAGAGAGAGAAATAAATCATGTTGCAAAGGTTAAAGACACAAGTTAATAAAATGTAATAATCAAAATGAGGAGAGTTAAAGGAACTGAGGTTATTATTTAGGCTGGAATGTTCATTTTAAATACATAAACTTTATTTAATCTGAAGCTCGTAGTCTGATAATCCTAATCTTAGAATTTTGAAATTATCAATAAATAAAGGGTAACTATTAATTTGACAGGACCGGTCCTGTTTGAAACTCATGTATGACTTAGGCACTGATGTTTAATTGACGTTTTTTTGTTTGTTTGTTTTTTGCCAAGATAGGTGGCGTTATAGTCCCATAAGTGTATTTGTAGATGAACCATGAGCATAGAAGAGTAGGTGGTAGAAGGTCTTTAGTTTTAAAGAAGAAGCGTTGTTTTATTTGTGAGTAAAATTCTGTTATAACATTTCCTAAAAAATTAACATCAAGAAGTAACGAAAATTTTAAAGCTGTATGTGTGGGTTTTAGCTTATGTTACTTTATCTGTAACAAAATTATTCCCTTCCAAAGGCTCAGCGGTAAGTCTGAGAGCTTTTCACGCTAAAATCTGGTTTCGATACTCGCGGCGTGCAAAGCACAGATAACTCGTGGTATTGCTTTGTGCTTAACAACAAACAAAAACAAAATTATGAGTTATGCTCTCAATAAAATGTAACGATAACCATTACTTTCAAGGTATAATTGAACAAATGTTGTAAGTTCTATTAAGGAGGTTAATTGCTAGTGTTCGTTTGAAAGAATATTGTTTCAAGCTGTTAAAACGGGTGCTTAGACCAGTAAAGGTTTTTTCGAAGAAAAACGTTGTAATCTGATTATTCAGATCCATTCTTAGTATTTTAAACAACTTGTGCGCTGAATAACTCAGAAAAATAAATCACTAGCACCAATGCTGCATATTCTTCAAGTCTTGTATTGCCTTTTGAATAGACCATAGTCTGTGACCGCCCCCTGGTAGCTCAGTGGTAAGTCTAAACGCTAAAAATTGGGTTTTGCTAAAGCACAGATAGGACAATCGGTCAACACGGTTGCGATTAATTACACGCATAAACTGTATGGATAATTAGAAGGATGCTGCGTTGATATATCTAAGTAAAGATATATTCTATGTTAGTGGATGGGTGAAATTCATGACTATTTCGGTCATTACATGTGAACTAAGGTTGACCTTGTTATCCTTCACAGAACTTTATTACAATGGAATTTATGGTATCGAGTAAAAGTACGCAAACACAGCCATCAGGCTTAATAGGATCAACGATGAATAAAATAGTTCGAAAGGCAGCACGGAAGTTGGAATATCTTTCAAAAGAAGCAACAACAAAAAAACACCAAAATTAACTATACTACTGAATTACAGACAAAGAGACAGAGCTTACACTGATGTAAATTAGTTAGGATTCAGAAAAGAAAAAATATAGATTTTTCTTATTCTGTCTGAAACTCCTTAGCATTATATCCAAACTCCAATAATAGTCAGCAAATCTTTCTGATTGATGTTTAACTTCTTCCACGACACTTGAAAAAAAAAAACCTCTTCCACAACTATCTATAGAACTGTAAGATACACATTAGCACGAAGCGCTTCACAACGACTTCTGGAACTGTAAGATACACATTAGCACGAAGCGGCTTCACAACGACCTCTAGAACTGTAAGATGCACATTAGCACGAAGCGGCTTCAATGGGTATGTAGCTTCTTAGAAACCGCTGCTTAGGAAAGATAACCAAACCAAAACGGTGAAAGAATACCAGACTTCAAATAATGGAATGAGCAAAGCTGGAGGAGAGGTGCTCTTTACAGATGTATCTATATTTAAATTATCTAGCAACAATCAAGGATATTGGTGGTTTGTTCGATCAATGTACAACACCCACAGTGAAGTAAACTGGGATTCAATTTAAGTATGGTCTTCCAATATGATGACGAGGAACCCAATTTGAGATTAGTACAGTTTAGAGACGGCTTGAATGTCCTGATGATGACAAAATCTTATCGAAAAGTTGTACACTTATTACTATGTTTAACTTGCAATAAAATGTTCGTTGTTACTCATTCAAATCGTCTCTAAACTTTTCGTCATCGAATTTGAATTCGTCACGGCAATCACTCAAAGTTGTTTAAATCTAGACTTTCGTCTACTTTATCTTACGTATATCTTGCCAAGCATGTTACCTCACTGGTTCAACACCATATACTAGTCACACCTTCCAACTATCTCTATACTTCGTCCTTAAATCTAAAATCGTCAAATAGAGAAATTATATTTCTTTCGTCAAACAGCGCCACTATGAACAGTTATTCCAAAATTTGTGAAAGTTAAATTATTTAAAACATTAAACATTTTCGGGTATTATTCAAAACATACTGAAAAACACTTAAAAGCAACCTTGAATTCTAAATATCAAAAATTAGACTACTTTAAAAAACTTAAACAGAAATTAAACTCTCATCTAGCCTGCTACCTCAAACCAGATGGTTATGGAAATTTGTTTATTTGTTTGTAATTAAGCCCAAAGTTACACAATGGGCTATCTGTGCTCTACCCACCACGGATATCGAAACCAGGTTTCTAGCGTTGTAAGTCCGCAGACATACCGCTGTGCCACTGGGGGGCGGTTACGGAAATATACAACGCGCTAACCAAAGAAAAAAAACCGAGTGTTACATCAACAGCAGTCTATGTACAACAAACACTAGATGAACTAAGGAAACTACGACAACTTGAAGTACAGCACAACACTGAAGCACCAACTACATTGTTATCAACAGATCTAACAGACCACTCAACTCAGCCATCATTTACGGAACAGTTCTTTGCCTAGAGTCACACTTATCTAGAAGATATACCCAGAAGACTAGTGACCTATTTCATAAAAGAACAAAACGTCACCTGCAGGAAGAAATCGAATAATTCAATCTCTAAACTTTTATTACACGTAACTACAACAAAATATAATTTCCTGAACTTCCCCAAAACTGTATTTTACACAACTATTTTTAAAGAATTCTCTAGCAAGACAATTAACCTTGTTAATCCAAACCGTAAACTGAAAAATAACCTCTCAAACAATGAGAACAAATGCTTCTATAACCTGAAGAAGCACACTAACATTACAATTCTAAAAGCTCATAAAGACAATACACGTGTAATTAGAAATAATACAGAATGCATTGACAAAATAAATGACATCCTCTTCAATGAAAATAAATTCAAAATTATCCCTAACAACCGATCAAACACACACGACAAACAACTTAAGATGACAAAACATACATTCAAGCTGTCTCTAAACGTTACAATTATAGTTTGTATTTCAGTCAGTATTGTTGGAAATTCACACAAAAATTGATTGCACCATAACTGCTGACAGGTACAAGCAAATAGTTTCCTTAGAAACATGACCTGTTATGTAGGGACTTTTCCTGTAAGACAATGACCCCAAACATGCAGTGATGTGGTGAAGCGATACCTGGAGGTAAAAAAGAGGCCAGTGGAACACTCGCAACCATGGCTTGACTTCACAAATATTGATATGGATATTATTAAGGTTATGAGGTCTTATACGGAAATAGAGAAAGCCAAACATTAACCACACAAGAAAAATATCAGTATTTTGTATGAAGCATCAATGAGGTAGTTGTGCTCTATTTGTAACAGAAGTTTTACTGAATACTAGTTATAAAACTTTAACTATCGAGAGAGTGTGATTAACTTATCGTTTTCTTCAAACACAACAAAATTACATAGTTTTGAAAAACAAAAGTTTGAGTTTTTGGATACTTTTGTTTTTACTGATTGCTACATTTTGTGTGAACCAGAAGGTGTAGTTGTTAAAATGTTTGTTTTTGAGAGTCAAATTTATATTCTTGAAGCAATTCGGTCGAAATTTCTGGAGTTCTGAAGACTTCTTAGATATGATATTCTAAGAATTACATTTCATGTTTGCTATTATAAACTTGAAGCTGTCACTCTTTATAGAATGTACAGAGGCGTCGAAACTGGAAGTGATGTAGCAACCCCACTTTTACATATTTGACCTATATAGGAACTGTAAATTATATTATTTTATTAATTTTCTAGGGGCCATACCCCCAGACCCCCTTAGACTAAGCTGCCATTAGCAGCACGGGAATTTCTCATTGTAAAATCTGCATGTCTAGCCAAGCACCCCTAGTTTGCAGCTTCTTCCTAAACCATTGATGTAGATCCAGGCTCCGTTGAATATTCGTTTCATGTTTGCTTTAAAATGTCTTGAGTTGTGTATTTTATTGCAAAGATTTACAATAAGTATCTCATGTTGTTTGAAGAGTGAATCATCAAGACTTAAATAGACTTTTCAAAACTTCTAGGTTTATTAATATCGTTAATAAGGCAGCGTTCTTTGAAAGTTCTTAGTAAGATAATATGTTTTTTTTCTTTCATCTGTATTTAACCTCGTAATTTTTATGCACATAGAGATTTGATAGTCATTTAAAATCTCGTCATTTAAAACATAATTCCTGGCATCCTTTGTCAGTATCTGATCACAGCTCTTGTATAAATTTTAAATAATATGAAACCAGATAATTTGTTTGTTTATTTGTTTCTGGCAAAGCTACCGGCGCCCAGTTGGCCCAGCAGAAATCCTGAGGGCTTATGTTTGTTTGTTTGTCTTAGAGTAAAGCCACACTGGGCTCTCTTCTGTTTCCACCGTGGAGAATCGAGCCCCGGATTTTAGTGTTGTAAGTCCGTAAACTTACCACTGTTAAACCGGGAGACCTGAGGGCTTATAATGCTAAACATTGGGTTTCAATACTCGCAGTGAGCACAGCACAGATATCCTGTTGCGTAGTTTTGTGTTTAACCAAAAACAAACAAAAGCAAAGTAAATAAGGCTATATGCCACCGTCCCTAATTTTGAACTGCCAACCATAGGAGAGGTAACCGGCCGACAGCGCCCACGCTAAATCGTTGGGCTACTCTTTACCAACGAATAGTAAGATTGACCGTCATATTATAATGCTTCTACGGCCGAAAGGACGATCATGTTAGGCGCCGGGTTTTGATCCCGCGATCCGTAGATCTTAAATAGAGAACCCTAACAACCAAGCTATGCCAGGCCCTCGGGGAGAGAGAGAAACTACCTGAATCATTCATCTTGTTTTCATTCAAATACTATAAAACATACGAAGATCTAGAATATAAATTAAATTATTAGAACAGCGAGTATGCGGAGAGGTCTGTCGCAGTAACGAAACGGTGTAATTTTTAATAAAGTCCAGGAGTTTGTCAGTCTGAATCAAACCCCCCTATCTTATAGTCGTAAATCCTTGAAAAGGTTTTTCGTTGTACAAAACTTGAAGATAGCTTTTATATGCGGAAACATCTGTTAGTTGAGTTCTTGCACAGATCTTAAAATATAACGTTGATAAACGGAAACATCGGCACATGTAGATAAGTAGATCTTGAAAGTCGAGTTGTTCAAAACTTGAAAATAGCATTGATAACTGGACCAATTGTTGGTTGAGATGTTGCAAAAGAAATATCTACTGAAGCAGCTATTTTCAAGTTTTGAACAACTCGACTTTCAAGATCTACATGAGCCGATGTTTCCTTTTATCAATGTTATCAGTGTTGCATATATATTAACCTCGTACCTGAAAGTTTCGCACGTCTCAAAAGACAATGCGCTGTATGGTAAAGCAGAAATGAATACAAATAATTTTCTTGTATCTTAAAATATTTTAATAATTTCAGAATATATTTCAGAAGACAAATTACCTTAGAATCATAATTCGAAACACATATTCAATATTCAACGCATTTCAGAAATAACATCATGAAGAAGGCAATCCTAAAAATAAAATATATACATATATATATTGTATGTTTGTAATTAAGCACAAAGCTACACAATGGGCTATCTGTGCTCTGCCCACCACGGGTATCGAAACCCGGATTTTAGCGTTGTAAGTCCGCAGACATATATATATAATTTTTAAACGAGATAAATCACGAACTATTAATAGAAAATCGCTAAAACTACACTGAAATAAAATTTTATATTCACCGTAACAAACAATTAAAGCATGTTTCGGAAACGAATCATTTTTAAATGTTTCTTTATCATTTTTCAACAATTCTCTTGTTATTTTACAGAATAATGAGTTTAAAAAAAAACATGTTTCGAACATGAAATTAACGTTTCTCTTCTACACTGAAACAGTGGGTCAGCGGTTAGTTTACGGGCTTACAATGTAAAAATCCGGGGTTCGATTCCCCACTGTAGACACAGCAGACATTCCAATGTGACTTTGCGTCAAAGATCAATTACGTGCTTTGAATTTATAATACTTTCTCACATAAAATTTTATTTTCCACTGTTTAGTTTATGTGTGTTTGTTTTAGTTTAATGAGGCTTTTTTTTTCTTAAGAGGAGTAAACGACGTATTATATTTATTATCTTTATTTGCTACAAAAACACGGAAGTCATACAAATTTAACGACTTACTTGATTTAAGGCATGCATCCATTAGCAATTTCTTGCAGTTGGTCTCCTCCCATGATCTGCAAAGAGAAAGCACTTTCCTGAGAATAAATGATTCACCACAACAATAACAATAAGCAGGAGACAGAATGAATTATATCATTTATATATATATATATATTTATACATAACCTCCTCCACTCAAGTAGGGGGGTCAACCTGAGTGGTATAGAGGTAGGGCAGAAGGAGTGACTACAATATGTCCTCTGCTGCACTCAAGAAGGTCAACATGAGGGATAAAGAGGTCAAACATGGGAAACAGGAATTGCAATAAATCCAATCCACTCGAGTAAGTTGTCAAAGTAAGTTGTGGCATCGAAGTCAAGCGATAGAAAGAGAGATTATTATACATATTTCTCTCCACTAGGTCAACCTGCGTGATATAGAGGTCATGTAGGAGAAAAGGAGATTACAATTTTTACTGCTACCGATATATATAAGATGTTTGCACGATCAGATGATTTAGCCAATCTTTTCTTCATACTAATGGATTCATGTACTTTCCCAGTGATTTCGACCTGTAATTAATAGCTTCAATCATGATAAAACTATAACTAATACATGTATTGAGATAGTCTGTAAGGTGGCGAGATGAGGAGGGGCTGGCTATTTGTAAACATTCGGCTTGGAGAAATGCGTGATTTTTTATATTTTGATTAGCAGTCTGATGAAACATAACGTTATGCATATGTAGGATCTCAAATTATATCTGTAGATATAATGTATCATTACGTGTACCAAGACTTGTAGACGAATGTGCTACTATGTATGTGTAGGCCTTTCGTCGTGTGTAAAAATCATTACATATATATGTGTGGACCTGTAGCCAGTTGTAAAGTGTAAATATTGATGTAACACTTGTCTTTATAAGGAGGCGAAAACACAATAATTTCCTTACAACTACAATGGTAAAGCATGTTCTACTGATGTAGTATTTCCATTATATTCTGATGAAAACAGCGTGTTGATAACAATAAAACTGGGCGATAGCTATTGATTAACTAGTTCAAAATAAGTGTGCAGTTCCATTTACATATACACTTGTTGCTTAATGGAATAAGTTATTACATCTACAATGGCGAATATGGATGTAAGAAGTGTTGCCTGATGTTATATTATTAACCATGCATGGACTTGTAACCGCGTATAATGAAGTTACATTTTCTTTTATATATCGACTGTAGAAAAACAAAACATTTAACCTGGATTCAGTTTACTAGATACAGTATAAAATAAAAAAAGACATCCATAAACTACACTAACTGCTAAATCAGAAATTTCTTGAGTCATCCAAATCTCGTCTTGACATGTTATTGGACTGGTTAATACCAAACTAGTTTTAAAATGTTCAAAACATTTTTTTGAAAAAAGAATAGGACTTCTTAATTTATAATGACAAGAAATAATAAGATTAAACTGAGTTCCTGTAAATTCACGTGTTTTTTGAGGCTACTTGTGAAAACATATATATACTACTTAAACTATGTATGATATAGATATGCGCGTGTTCCCTTATATCTCAATTTACGCGTTAAAATAGTAAAAAACGTTGCTACTTACTATGAGAAGCCTCAAGCAACTGGAAAGCTAAAAGAAGAAACGAATAAATAAATAACTCGAATGAAGTAGCAATAACTCGTATAAAGTTCATATATTCACGAATACAGTACTACAAACACTTGATCAGACACTGTACTCAGATTATGGAGTAATCTGTAATAATGCAAAACAAATATTGTGTGTATGGGTTTCACTCTTGGAGATTCCCGTTTCTATAACTGAATAATAAATATTTCTCAACTATGTCGTAACTCTACGGACCTATTTCAGTAACTGACAAATTACTGTGTACAGGAGACATCTTAACTCTAAACACCAGTTTCAGTAGTTGACAAATTACTGTGTTCAGGAGACATCTTAACTCTAAACACCAGTTTCAGTAGTTGACAAATTACTGTGTACATGAGACATCTTAACTCTAAACACCAGTTTCAGTAACTGACAAATTATTGTGTATAAGAGACACCTTAACTCTAAACACCAGTCTCAGTAGTTGACAGATTACTGTGTATAGGAGACACCTTAACTCTAAACACCAGTCTCAGTAGTTGACAGATTACTGTGTATAAGAGACACCTTAACTCTAAACACCAGTCTCAGTAGTTGACAGATTACTGTGTATAAGAGACACCTTAACTCTAAACACCAGTCTCAGTAGTTGACAAATTATTGTGTATGGAGACTATTAACTCTAAGCACCAATCTCAGTAACTGACAAATTATTGTGTATGGAGACTATTAACTCTAAACGCCAGTCTCAGTAACTGACAAATTATTGTTTATGGAGACTATTAACTCTAAACGCCAGTCTCAGTATATGACAAATTATTGTGTATGGAGACTATTAACTCTAAACGCCAGTCTCAGTATATGTCAAATTATTGTGTATGGAGACTATTAACTCTAAACGCCAGTCTCAGTAACTGACAAATCATCTTGAATTGAAAGCACCTTAATTCTAAATACTAGTCTCAATAGCTGATAAATATAAACGTGCTTTCGAAATGTATTGATACTATATTCCAGTCCAATCCTAACTGCGTGATTTAAATTTATTATTTATATTGTTGCGTCAGCGAGTCACGTGACTACTGTGACGCAACGTTTCTAGAACTATCATGTACTTTGGCGAATGCTCTAGTAATTACTAGATATAGGGTAGGCTGGTATATAAAAGAGGGGAATGTAATGTGTGTGTAGATAGAGAGTAATTGATCTGCAGTCAGTAGTATTATTGAGCACGTTCGTTGTGATAGCATTTGTTTAGCGTGATTGTTGAAGTGGAGTGTATCGGTAAAGTTGTATTCAGAAAGAATAGACCAGTTTTATTAAGTAAAGAACTTGTGTCGCTAAAGTTTCGTCGAAGTTACGGAAAGTTAATTAAAAAAAACGCAGACGTAACAATATTTAATAGTTTATCTACATTACTTCGAATAAGTCAGATAACTGCGCTCTATTTTTTCTATGCCTAATAAACTTAGGTGTTGTAATATTATCCTACCTCTCCACTTTCGTCCTTTTTGCACAACGTTCTCAACGCTGCAAGCTCATCCTCTCCTGGTAATATGCGACCTCGACAAGAGTCCCAAATCTCCAGAGCCTACAATAAAACCAAGGCGCAGTGTTACATTTAAAACGAATTTATCTTTTATTTCATTACATCCTCCTCCCCAGGAGCTTCAGTCCATTGTACAAGCGCTGTAATTGATAACCAAAACATAATTATGTATTGATTGTAATTCTATAATGAAATTTGAAACAAGTTATAAGTTCTGAAAATATTTTTAATAACGATAAAACAAATGCGTATAGAAAAGCATAAGTGAGCCTTACACACATTATATTTCCTTTGTTCGTTTACCACCTCTACAACTAATAGTGCAGAGGTAGATCTTATCATAAAACAAAGCTTTTTATTTATAAAAACACCTCAAAATATATCTAATCTCCAGGATAAAGACTGTTTTATACTCATTTTAAGCCAAGTTTCTATTTTCCTTGTGTTTCTCCTTTACATTATATTTTGATTCATTATGTTAATTATCATATTACTG